TAAGTCAGAGACAAAAACCATATACCACTTACATGTGAAATCTAAAAAAAATGATACAAATTCTATTTACAACCCTAAAATAGACTCACAGGCATGGAAAGGCCAAGATTAAAAAGGCCACTCAGAAGAGCAGTACAGAAGTTGCCAGAAGACACGCTGAAAATGTGACCCACCGGAAGAACCAAGTAATCGGTTTCTCGAGCGTGAGCGCCGGGCTGACACTGCGGCAGGAGTTCACCCTGTGGGCAAGGTGACAATTTGACGGTCGTGGGTGACGTCTGCAGATGCTGCACTGAGGGGCAAGAACTTTGAAGAGATGTTTGTGCTGATGGACAAATGTGAACACCGGTTGGAAATGCTGGGTGTTCAGTCCCAACAAAGGGAAGCCACGGCGAGTGGCCCTGCACCCCTGACAGCACCGCAAACCAAGTGGATCTGCTGCTTCAGGGGAGGGCAGCTTTGGGAGTTCAGATTTGCAGACACACACAACTACATATAAACCAGGGGAACAGCAAGGTCCTACTGTACAGTGCAGGGAGCTACACTCAACACCTTGCAGTAACCGATAATGAAACAGAACGTGAAAGTCAATGTACGTATGTATATGTATGACCGAAACATGATGCTGTGCACCAGAAATGACACAACACTGTCAACTGACTTTACTTCAATTAAAAAAAAAGAACGGCAGCTGAAGCTGGCCCTGATCTCAGATCGAAACAGCACAGGGACCACTGGCTCTGCTGGTACCCAGGCTGTTTCGACAGAACAGGGGGATTTCTCAGAGGCTCCCTCGTCTGCACGACCAAGAGTAATTTTTAGATCTGGCGCTTCTGTTTACTTCAGTTGCTTCTGATAAAAGACATTTTCACATCTTGAGGTCCTGGAAGTCATTCTGGCTTATACATGATGTAACTCAGATTTGATGCTAACTGAAACAGCCTGTTGGTGGCCTATCAAACATACACTGTACAGCTGCGTTCATTATTGGAGAAGAGGGCGCGGTGACCAGAAGTAAAGAATGTCTGTGTTGGAAATAAAGATTCCATGCCTCCCCTCCTGGGACCCCAGTGCTGGTCCTTTCTGATGGTAAGACTCCCCTCCCAGGTGCCGAGGCCACACACGGACTCACCACGTACGTGCTGGCCTGCTTTGTCCTTGTTGCTGTTGTTCTGAAACCTAGGAGGGATATATCCCTGACTTGTCTGATGTTCTTTGTTCTGACAAGACGTAACCCTGTGCTTGGGAGCCCTGCTTCTCCAGAGCAGTTCCTCTGGGTCATCTGAGAGGCTGTCTTCCGGGTTATAGTCTTCAGTTTGGCTCAAATAACACTCTTCTATTCCTATTATAGATTGTTTATTGATTATTTTTGTCCACACTTCTAAAATATTTTGTGTGTATATACAGATAAATCACACCGAGAAACACCATATATGCCAGAAGGCTTGAACACTATTTTTTTTTAACTGAAGCAAAATTATAGTGTTGTGTTAGCATCTGGTGTACTGCGTAGTGATTTGGTCATACATATATGTATAGATAGATCCCTTTTCATATTCTTTTTCATTATAGGCTGTAACAGGATATTGAACATCGTTCCCCGTGCTGTACAGAAGGGCCTTGTTGTTTATTTTATATACAGTAGTGTGTATCTGCTAATCCCAAACTCTCAATTTATCCCTCCACCTCCAGCTTTCCCCCCTGGTAACCACAAGTTTGTTTTCTATGTCTGTGAGTCTGTTTCTGTTTTGTAAATAAGTCCATTTGTGTCATTTTAAACACGACTTGTACGCACACTTTCTTTTGCCTTGCTGTACTTCCCAGCACACTAAGAAACTGCAGGGAGTTTCCACCTTGACATAGTTTATGGTTCTGTATATTACGCATAAAAGTATGAGGGGCATATCTTCGTAGCTGTCGTTGACAAAGTAGCATCAGCTTGTTGTGTATGAAGCATCTTTTGCAAAAGTTACACCAAAAACCTAGCACCAAAGTCCTACAGAATAAAGCGTAGAATAAAGGTTTTGGTTAAAAAAGAAAAAGACACAATTAAAATAAAAAGACATCTCTGCTCTCAGGGAAGAAGCAAACCCAGTTTTAGAGCACGTCACCCCAGGACCCCACTGCACTCAGTCTTCTCTTGCCTCACTGGCCACCCCCTTTCCGTCCCCACTGCTGGTTCCTCCTCTTTTCTCTGACCTGTGGGGGCCCCCCAGACCTCTCCTCTGTCTACACATACTCCCTCGGTGGAGTTCACTTAGCTCTCCTGTTTTCAAGACCATCTGTGTGCCAGTGACTTCAAAATTTACATCCAAATCCCAGGCGTCCCTTCCAGACTCCAGGCTCCAGACTCAGACAGCCAACTGCCAACTTCATCCTGAATCCCCCGCTTAGTGAAGGACCACCTACATGCACCATATAACTTACCGATTCATTCTGCTTGCTTTCTTGCTCCCATCCCTCACTAGAATGTAAACTCCTTGAGGGCAGGATTTCGAATTAGAGTTTCCTCCTGATGTATGTCCAGGAGTGGGATTGCTGGATCTTTGGGTAAGTCTATTTTTAGTTTTTTTAAAGACTCTCCATACTGTTTTCCACAATGGCTGCAACAAACTACATTCCCACCAGCAGTGTAGGAGGGTTCCCTTTGAAAGCAAGTTTTGAGGAAAGTGAGCACCCTGTATTGACAGACAGGTTAGAGTAAAAGTGGGAAGAAAATCAGAAGATCTTGAAAGAGGAGTTAAATGCACCCTTCTAAGGAAAGATTCCTATATGTGAGTGGTAGAATGAAACTCAGTTTGTGGAAGATGTACGTGGGGTGTGTGTGTGAGAGAGAGACGGAGCAAACTTCTTAAATAATAACTAATTCATTTCTCCATCCTTATGAATCAAGACACAAATTATACCACATGCAATAAAATCACGTTCTAGAAATCCTCCTATTGGTCTGTAGGCGATCGGAGCTTTCAGTCAGCATGAGACGACCAGCAAGAGTAAACGGCGGAGACACAGCTCCACACGAAGGAGGAAAGCGCCTTTACCACCCTGCACAGCCTCACCGTGTTCTTGAAGAGCTCTCGCCTGCCCGGGAAGGTCGGGCCATCAGCCCAGGGGGTAGAGCTCCTGCAAAGTGCCCACCGGCTCAGTGAGCTGGCTGCAGTTTACAGACTGGTCCCTTCTCCACTCAGCCTACCCAGGATGGGGTCCAAAGAATGGCTTGTTTCATCACTGGGACAGTCACATGCCGACTCACCATTCAAAAATAAGAGGTTATTGGAGGGCGCGGGGAGGGTTGCACTCGGGGGTGGAGCACGTGCGTAGCATGCACGAGGTCCTGGGTTCCACCCCCGGTACCGCCTTGGGGAGACTCCGATCTTATCCTGCAGTGAGCCCGTCATGCCCCACAGGAGCAAGTCGGGGAACCAAGGTAGCTCCTTGCCCACCGTGAAACATTCCCCAGCAAAACCCTCTGCCTTTGAACAGCTCTCACATTAAGGCAGAGGCATGCGACGCTGAGATACCATTAGACCAGCAGCTCTTGAACATTCTGGTCTCCCTTATACTCTCAAAAATTATTAAAGAGCCCCCCTAGAAGCTTGCGTTTATGCTGATCAGTAGTTAGCGTATCGGAAACTAAAACTGAGAAAACCCTAAATATCTATAATACTTCAACAATAATGAACTCATTACATGTTAACATATTTTTTTTAATGAAAGTAAAACCCAAAAGCAGCGAGGGAGAGAAGTGTCGCTGCTTTGCATTTGTACAAGTCAGCCTGACGTCTGGCTTAGTGGAAGACAGCTGGATTCTCCCGTCTTCCGCGTTTGATCTGTCGTGACAGGTACCACGACGTGTGGAGGTATCACCCATCACATATCCGCTGGTGAGCTCACGATGTACATGAGGGCACGGAGTATGAAAAGCAAATTACATTTTCGTTTTATCGGGGAAAGAGTTTTGACCTTGTGAGTTACTTGAAAAAGCCTCCAGGACACCCAGGAGTCCCCAGACCGCGCTGTGAGGACCGCTGAGTCGGGGCATCACTAACAGCACCCTTTCCAGGTCTCTGAACCCAGCACTCAGACTGTTTCTTACTCTCCTATCTCCTCTTGTCAACTAGCGTCAGGGCTTCCACTCGCCTCCCAGCCTGACCACTCGCTTGAAGGTCTACAAGATCCAGGGCATCTCCACATTCCGGTCCCCCAATGCCACAGACTCACCCTGGGTTACTGCCTTTCCCCTCAGGTCAGCCCCCTCAGCCATCTCCTCACTCTCAGTCCTCAGGACAAGAGCCCCTCCCTCCCTGCCTCCTCCGCCTCCGATGTGGGACTGGTCAGGATGCAGCTTAGATCCCCCAGGCTCACCCACTTCTCTCCTTGCCCCCCTTTCCTGTACGCTCTCATCCCCACGTCTGGACAAATCTGCAACTTACCACACTGGTTCTCCTGCTCCCAAACTCTCCCTGTCTGTTTGTTCATGCTTTCTTGCAAACCACCCCCAGCCATGCCATTACCAAAGGGAAAAGAGTGGGGGAAGTGGGGAGGGATAAATTGGGAGTTCGGGATTTGCAGATACCAACTACTATATATAAAATAGATAAACAGCAGGACCCTACCGTATAGCACAGGGAACTAAGTCCTACATCTGGTAATAACCTATAATGAAAAAGAATATATATGTGTATGACTGAACCACTATGTGGTATACCAGAAACCAACACACATAGTAAATCAACTATTCTTCAATTAAAAAACTAAAAAACGGGACATGCCTTGTGACCAGTGACAGACAGCGTAACCCACCAACCATCAGCATGGCCCTGACCCTCCATGTAATGGATTGCATCCTATGGCCCCACATGGTCACCTCTCCCTGTATCCATGCCTGTTGCCAGTCTCAGAACCCACTGACTCTGGGCTCAGCCATGAAACTGGCTTTAGTCCACAAGGACCCTAGCAGAGGCTTGAAAAAGCACTATGCATTTCTGCTCCTTATAGCTCTGACATCCCCCTGAAAAAGGACATGCTTGAGCTGGCCCTCTGAAGCAGCACTGCCCGACAGAATTTTTAGTGATGATGGACACATTCCACAGCAGCACTGTCCAATCTAGTAACCACTAGCCACCTGACGGTGCTGCACATTTGACATGTGGCTACTGTGACTCAAAAGCTGAAATTGTAATACTATTTAATTTTAATGAACTTAATTGAAAATAGCTACACAGGGTTCATGGCACCCATACCAGGCAAACAGCTGTGGAGGATGAGAGACCCATGGAACAGAACCAAATCACCCCAGTTTCTCCCGCTGAAGCCACCCTAAACCAGCCCACCACCTGCTGATTCCAGACACGTAAGCAACAAACAAATGCTTATTGTTACATGCCACTGAGGTCTTGTGGTTGTTTGTTACACAGCAAGAGCTAGCTGATAGATCTCCTGACCCCACCTGCCTACCCAGACAGAACCCTCCTATTCCAACAAATGGGATCATAGCCCTCACTCTCCCAGCATATGCCAAGGTTCTTCCCATCCTCACACATTTGCTCCTGCAGTACCTCCCACCCCGAATGGCCTCTCCAGTACCCCCTTTACCAGCTAAAACTGGACCTCTCTTTCAAGTCGTAAATGTAACGTCCTTTGTGAAGTCTCCCCTCACTATAACTGACAGCAATCCCTTGTGTCCATTACTCCATGTCTTAGGCTTGACGCTTGAAAGCATTATGAGTCAGACACAGACTTGGGCTAGAATCCTAGTTGGGGCATTTAACTGGTGGTATGGCCTTGGGTAATTACTAATTATTACTATTTCTCCATCTGAAAAAAGGGGCAGGTTGTTTTGAGGATTAAACAATGTAAAACTAAGACCCTGGAACACACAGATATATTCATTCAATAACTGTTTTCCTTCTCGGTGGGTTTCCTTTCATTTTCCTAATTTAGTGCCCAGAACGGTATAAACCACCTGGTTGATACCCACACAGCCTGCCAATTCACCCTTCGCTCAGGGCCTTGGGAGGGTTTCCGCCAGCTCAGAAGAGCACCTACACAGCTGCAGATCGTGGTGGGCACTGGGATGTGTCACCAGACCCCCCTTCAGACCTTCAGACCTGCATTGGGAATGCAGCCCTCAGTGGTCAGTCCTCTCTGATGATGGCCTCTGTGGAAAAAACTGCCTCCCTCACGGGTCACACCTCCTTCCAGGGCAGCCCTTATCTAATCATTGATCACTGTTAAGGACACAAAGGCCCAGCCCTCTCAGGAGATTTGAGACTGTGCTGAAAGGCCATCCCACCTCCAGAGCTCCCAGGGGCTGCCTGACACCCTCGCTGGCCTGCATTGCATCTCCCTCTGCTCATCCGTCTTCAGTGCCCTCCCTTCCACAGGTGCGGCTCTGAGGATCTCACCCTAAAGACATAATGTGCCTGTTTATCTCCATCTCAGAGTCAGATTCCTGGGAACCCAATTTGCAGCCCAGGAATAAGACGCAAAGTGAGTTCAGTCTTTCTCATTGACATGCAGATTAAAAACCCCAGTAGGCTATAAGGTGTGGATTGACAGGAATCACCTTTTAGCAATAGATTTTCTAGGTCTTTAGAAAGTGATGTGGTTAGTCTGATGCCACAAGTAAAGGACGGCAGGAGGTCCCAAATTTAACATGGGGGTTCTGAGCTGGGGGTCCAGGGACCCCCACAGGGGTTCATGAAGAGAATTCAGGGGGTCTGTTAACTTCGATGGAAAAAGAAATTCCTTTTTCAGTAACCCCTCACTGAGATTTAGAATTTCCTTCCACAGTGAAGGCGGGCAACGAAGCACAGTAGAATTAGCACTTAATGACCTTTCCACTATTAGAAGTCAGAATCTGTCCAATCACATTATAGTCACCGCAGGTGTCTCCCAATATTGTTTACAGTCCTCATGACCTTGAAAGTACAGTCACCAGCTGACCCGCCATTGCATCCACGGCTACACCGTGCTGTTTAATATGGTTAAAAATAAACACATATACTATTTCCTACGACTTAAATTTTTTTTTTAATTTGTGTTTCAACATAATGGATCTCCTCGGCAAGCCTGTGGATTTTCTCTGACGCATTTAAAAC